AGTAGGGGATTAAAAATGACGACCTCTCTGTGAGCATTTTCTCATGAAATGTTGTGTGTATGCAAATAATACATTATAAAGCATTTGTATCTATATATTGAAATTAAATGTGTTTTATAACCATACTATTGTTTGATTTAGAAGTGTGTAAAGTGGTGTGAGAATTTAAAAGGAAAGCGAGATGGTGTAAGCTTCTTGTTTACTACCGAAAGGTCTTCAAAATGTGTTATCGAAAAAACAGTTTTTCAATCTGAGGATTTTGACGATAGTTAACGTTGTACTTCCTTCCAATATATGACGTCGGATTTTATTTAAATGCTGATTAGAGTTGAAACTATAAATTGCCTCCTGACACATTTTAAGCACGTTTTTTTCCCCTTAGATGAGTGAAAATATAAACACTAGAGCTATTCGCTAAGAACCGCGAATGTAGTCGTTAAATTATATTTTAAAATATATCCTTAAAATATTTCAAAATTAATTTGTAATTACGACTTGAATATATTATCTCGGTATTTCAAACACCGCAAAGACTCGCTAGGCGGCGCATGTCCTGCACATTTCTGCCCAAGGAAAAAAGCGAATTCGGAGTTCAGCTGAAGTAGCTCTTTTTTTCCATATACAAGGAGAAAGAACTGAAAAAAAAATTGGTTTAATTTTACCAAGGGGAGTCTAATATAAATATAATTAGTCTGTTGCAACATTTATCAAAGATTGACTGGGAGGGGTTGTTTTTCAAGTCAAGTCTAGAGCGACGGAATGTATAGAACGATTTCCGATTGTCGAGTGCGGCTACTGCTGTCCCAAGTTTCCACATTTTCTCACATCAAGACAGGACGCCGAGCTTTTCGGCTACAATGAGATTAAAATGAAGCTCTTTGGACTCTGGGTTGCCTTTCTCCTGGCGAGCACTTATCGATGTGGTGAAGGTAAGCGATTTTCGGATGATTCAGCTTACCTTGCCGTGTTCGCTGTTGAGGAATTTGATGTGTGATTTATTCAACTGTGCAACTTCGAAAAGGGAAACTAACGTTAACTAATGCACTATTTGTATCTGTTACGTTACAGGATACAATATCGTAGAGAAGTCTGGTGAAATATCTTTGCATATATTTTGTTGTTGTTGTATGTCCCAAAGGAGCAACAAACACGTCCCTACAACAAATCCGTTTGAGGTTAATCTGTTTTGCAATAATTAGACGCGATTTAAGAATAAATAGCGAACAGTTTCTTTTTGATTTCCAAGACACATTTAGCCAGTGTGTCAGCATTTTTTTCTAACCAGTGCTGGAAGTGTACTATCAGTATCAGTTAATCGCTTTCCCAGCAAGATGCGATCAGTGATTTCCATCAGCAAGGTAATCGGTTTTGAAAAGGCCAGCGTTTAAATTCCGCAAAAAAATGAGCATGAATATAACATGTAACTAATTCTGTTTGCAGGACTTCACGTTCTGAATTTCTAAGTAAAGAATAAATTATATGGATGGATGATTTACAGAAGCATTTGAAAATGCGCCTGATTACCCGTTACAAAGAAATGATGACATATATTTATATACTTGGGTTTAGAATACTATGAAAGGAGTGGTTAAAATTTCGTTGTTTTGTTCCGCTCTGTTCTGATCTGTCGCTTAATTCCCCAAAGTCTTTAAAATGTAATTACACCTAGCGAAATGTACAATTGCAGGAATCACTCTGACTATGTTTACACCAAAGTATAGACTGAAAAATAAAATAACTCTTTGCGTGCTAAATTCTGATTTGACTCTTAGCGTTATTGAAGGTTTTGTCAGTGATGCTCTCCAGATTAAAATAAAATCTTTCTGAAGCAAAATCGTTGGGTTTATAGTTCTAAAAATGTTTTCAAACTACAGGATTCTGAAAATACCTGGACTTTGAAACGCAACTGCTTTATTTCCGAAACTGACCGGTTAAATATCTCCTTGCCAAGTGACCATAAACAGAAATATTTGCATTCCTTCTTAGAAGCTTCTTATATTGCTTTCTGTGACTGTACCAGCAACTAAATGGACAGGTTGTGATATAACACAGATAAAAACCTCTTCCGGTTTTTATGATCTTGTTTAATTGTTTTAGAGTCTGCTGTCATAGGCACCCCTGCCCTCCACAGATTAATTCATTTAAACAATGCAAACTGTATGAAGCAAGATGAAAAATATATAGTTAGTTTAAGAATAGTTTCTTAAAGCGCCGCTGAGCTACCTCCACAGATAATTAAACATTTTTCCAAATTAAACAGCCATTTTATACAATACGATGTCCTACTGTTCCACGAAGGTTATTGCACCCTCAGGTGCGATTGTAAAAGAATATTTTTGTGCGTGGTCACTTAAATTGGGCGGAATATCAGGAAGTGCAAAGGTATGGAAATGATCAGGCCTAAAAATAAGCTTAAACATTATTACAAATAATGGCAATCTTAGCTCATACAGGGCAGTTTAATCTTCTTCACATAAGTGCATGAAATCTATCAAAGTAGACTTTTAGAATACTAAAAAAAAGTTGAAGATTTTCGTAAAAAATTGATGTTTTGTGTCTGTGCGGAGTTAAAATTGCCAAAACAAGTTGATTAAGAATTGGTATGAATAGATATGCAAAACATGATGGTGAATGCTAGAACACTAAGCGAATGACCCACTTGACCAGTGAGCAGTGATTGTGTGGTCCCTCTGAGCAGGACCACCGTAGGGAACCTGTTCTGTGACAGTGTGGAGAGGCCAGGAGAGACAGGTTATGTTCTGACAAGCCACACCGGCTGAGAGCGGCTGAGTTTTCTGTCTGCAGTGGCTACAGCACATGAAATTCCAGGAAGAAATGACTGCAGTTCCCCATCTGCTTGGACATCATTTGCATGTCTGTAGGCTGTTCAGGGTTAACCTGTTTACCACAGAGAGACTCAATCACTGTCTTCAGGTGGCCAGCACGCATCAGAGGTGGAGGAGAAGGGAGTGGTGAGGTTTTACTCACAATAAAGGCTGTTTAACCTTGACATAGTGTGGAGATTGTGCAATGGGTGGAATGCTGACTGTGGCATGAACGCAGCGGAAATATGATGATATACAGAGGAGTCTCCTTTCATACCAGAATGTCTCTGGTGCCGGCTCTGAGCGATCTTACTGCTCGGAGACTAATTGCAATTTCCCTAATACTTTACTGTACTCTTGTGTGAGTCCAGTGCTTCACCTGAGAATATCCCTTCTTTGTAGGTATTCACAGACAGATGTTCTTTTGTCAGTGTTCTGAAATATCATAGGACGTCGGGCCTCCTTTTGGTGAAGACAGCGACCATTATGATGAGACAGTACAGTCAGACCCAGCTATAGTGTGCAGACAATACAGAGCCTCTGCTCTTTTCAGCAGGATAACTTACAATGTCACAGTTAACACGTCCAGCCAAACAGAGATGTGTATGGTTATTACGCAGTATCATGGAAGCCAAAAATATGACCTTTTTTATTTAAATCTACAACCTACAGTTACAAAATTTCCTAATTTTACTATAAAAATGATGAGGTTGTAGGCAAAGAGACTCATAATCCACTAACCAATCGCAAGCTCAGCTTCCCATTTCTCTCAGTTCCTGGCATTGCCACACTCATGGCATTTGAACTGCATGATTCCAGGTTCATTTTTACTGGGAAAGGATTGGTCAGAACTTGACCCTTTTTGTGTATCAGGTCATCATTGTATTGCGGGTCATCCCAGTTGTCTTTTGTGTGATCCTGGAGAAACGGGTGCCCTGTCAGACACCCATGCTACATGGGTCGCACAAAAACTGCGAGCCTGAACAACAGCCACTAGGAAGTTTAACCCATTTACTTCTCCTCTCCAAGGGCTGCAGTTCACAAGGAACCCCACCAACCTGACAGTGTCCCAGGGCAATAAGGCCATGCTGCACTGTGCTGTAGAGGGGGAGAGTGAGCCTGAAATCGTCTGGATGAAGGATGGAGAGAAGACCCACAACGCTGAAGAAATGTACATCACTGTAGACCCAAACCACTGGGAGACCTTCTACAGGTAATGCTTAAGTCAGCACCAGCTGAACCAACAGAGTCCAGTACTGGATCAAAGAACACAGGACACAGGACTGAGTCTCCACCTTTTTGGGAGTGGATATTATTAGCATAGAGACAGTATTTACCAGTCATAGTTTTTCAATTTGCTCAGCGTTTTTGAGTTCATGAATTTCATTGAAGTTTCCAAATGGCAAAAAAATGGATTATCTTCTCATTTTAGCACAGACTATTACGAAAAAAATGCAATTTCAGCTGTCAGCTTGTTTTGTTTCCTCAACTTCTTGTTTCCAGTCTACATGACTTTATTTTCCCTCATATTTCCATGTCAGAGACTGACTAGGTAAGGGTGCCTTTAAAAACACACATTGCTCAGAGAAGGAAGACAGTTGGGAATGAAAGAGCACCACTCCCGCGTTCCTAAATTCCAGATCCATCTCTTGTTTAAAATGTTATTAGAGCCTTCAGCAGTTTGCTGCCTGAATAGCTGTCATTTACACGGGCTGATGTTTGTACACCTACTGTCAAAATCACCCACATTATCTTTTTTCCATGCCTGCTACGTTTTGTTATGAAAACAAAAACAGAGCATAAAATAGAGGCGATGCAGTCTTTGCCTCTAAAACGAGTTTCCTCGTGCTCCCGTGGTCAGGTTTACGGGAAAGTGTTTAGGGAAACTGATCCTCCTGGGCTAATCAGATTGAGGCAGTAATGAGTTGCCTTTGTCCCAGTGAGTGAATGTGAGCTTCACGCAGGGGCACACCCAGCAGGTAAGAATGGCCACAGCCATTCCTCAGCTCCTGAGCAACTTTGGAATGCGGCCAGCTACACCCATGCAGCATGCTCTGCCCAGTGCTGCAGCCAGTCATGTGACCCAGCCTAGCTGTTTTACAGCTAATCTTCAACACATGCACTAGTCCAATACAGATGTCCTTCCTCTCTGGTGAGTCCCAGGAGGACTGAGCTGGACTTATTACACTTTTTCATCTGAATAGGATATGGAGGCTCTCTGTGTTTTGAAGACCCCCTGCAGGTCTCAGTTTTCAATTGTGGACCTTTTGTAACCCAGACCCAAAGCTCCATGTCTGTGTTAAGCTGGACCTGATGCACAAGCAGAGTTTTAAGAAACTTCCCCATAGTGAAAAGCACTAGTACAAAAATGCTTGTGCATGCTGTTGTCTTGAGTACAACATTTGCGTTGCCAGGAACCAGAGGAAATCGGACATTGACATAATGGGAGATTAGTTATTACTCCCTTTATCTTAAAACGTAGCCTGTAAGATCGCAAAACCTATGCTGACATTACACTGAAGACCGTTTTAGCACAGCTGTATGTTTACACATCCGTGTTTTATCATTTTTGGGAAAAGGCATGTGGATAAAACAAAATATGTACTTTATTTATGTGCTTGGCTGTTTTTCTACAAGAGTAAATTGAGTAAAAGTTACAGGGGCTTGCGTGACAGGCAGTAGTCTGTTAGCTCAGAGTCCTGTGCAGAAGACTTTCTCTGAGGTGTCTATTCTGACTGCAGTGTCAAGTCTGCCCAGAAGCTGGATGCAGGAAAGTACTGGTGTGCTGCTGATTTTGGTGGTGAAACTGTGTCATCAGAGCCAGCCTGGATCACCGTGGAAGGTAAACCCCACCAATATCTACCACACTAGTAAGGCCTTGTTTAGAATATACAGTCAAGGAGCAGGTAAAGGTTCATTCCATGCTGAAAAGTAAAGAAATACAATGTTTAGGCTGCTGAGCCTTCTTCAGGTATGAGGAAGAAAGTGGAAATGACTTTTACCTGTTCCTCTGCAGCCAAAACATCCTGATGCAGCTACCTACCTGAACTTGTTTGGAATATTGTGTACAATTTCGGTCATCCCATTATAGAAAGCAATTTGCTGCTCTGAAGTCAGTCCAGACAGGAGTGACCAGATACATGCCAGGGTTTAAGAGGGTGTCCTACACTGGCAGGTTGAAGGAACTGAACCTTTTTAGTCTTGGACAGAAAAGAGTATGACTGGACCCAATACAAGTATTAATAAGTATTACAATCCTCAAAGGTGTTGACAAAGTCCACCCAGTGGACTTGCTGAGAATCATCAGTGGAACACAAAAGGAGACAAGTGGAAACTATGTGGAAGTGCATTACAATCTGACTTTAAATAACATTTCTTTACCCAGAAGGTTGTGGGAGCAGGGAACAAGCTACCCTAGGGATAGAGGATAAACCTGCTCTTGCACTGTAGCTCCTGTTTATGTGAGATTTTTTTTTTAAAAAGGGAGACGAGTGAAACTGTATCATACCCAGTTTCAAATATATAAAACCTGCTATCACAGAAAAAAAATTCAAGCCCCCATGCCTTCTGAGCAATAACTTATCTTACCAGCATTGTTTGAAAAGTGATTAATATAATACAATGTAGATTGCTGGTGTTTGAACAAATGTGAGATCAAGGCACACAGGAAAAGTAAAACACAAGAATCTCCTACTGGTGGAGTAAAGATCTGGATTAGAGAGTACAGATTTTATTTTCTCATGGCTTAGTTATATCCTAGATGGTCAGCATTGTCTAAAATCTTTCAAACAGTGCAAGCAAGAGGCTCACAATTGTTACTGTCTTTAACAGATAGAAGAAAGGCTTTGCTTACTTCACCAAGCAAATACATGTAAAACCAACCAGGGTATATTGCTGGCAGCACTGGACAGTCACACACAACCTTTCACACCCCAACACCCTCTTGCCCTCCTTCCTGTCAACCCCCAGGTGTGCCACACTTTGTGGTGGAGCCCCAGGATGTGGCGGTGCTGCCCGGCGTGCCCTTTAACCTCAGCTGCGCGGCCGAGGGCCCCCCCGAGCCGGTGGTGGTAGTGTGGTGGATAGAGGAGAAGCAGAGCGGAGAGCCAGCCCCTTCTCCTGCTGTCCTCTCGCTCCCAGGTGAGTCTCCACACGTTCCCACTGTCGGCTGCCTCTTTTCCTGCGCTGCCGTCTGACCCTCTGCCATGTGTAGAGACCTCTCTTTGCTTTGGAGCTACTAAATCAGGCATTGAGACCTTAGACCGCCAAATAATAATAAAAATAATAATGATTGCTTATACTTCTATAGCGCTTTTCTGGACACTCCACTCAAAGCGCTTTACAGGTAATGGGGACTCCCTTCCACCACCACCAATGTGCCGCATCCACCTGGATGATGCGACGGCAGCCATAGTGCGCCAGAACGCTCACTGATCAGCTATCAGTGGGGAGGAGAACTGAGTGAGGAAGCCAGTTTAGTAGTGATGCACGGGTTGACTCACACCCGCGGGCGGCTGTGGGTTTACTTATGGGTCGGGCGGTCTCGGGATAAAAAAAAGAAAAGATTTTAAATCGGGTTGGGTGGGTGCAGGTTCATTTCTCATGACCGCGGGCGGGTGTGGGTTAAAAAAAGCCAACCCACGCATCACTACTGTTCAGAGATGGGGATTATTAGGAGGCCTTGACTGGTAAAAGCCAGGGAGGGAATTTGGCCAGGACGCTGGGGTTACACCCCTACTCTTTTTGAGAAACACCCTGGGATTTTTAATTACCACAGAGTCAGGACTTCGGTTTTACATCTCATCCAAAGGACGGCGCCTGTTTACAGTATAGTGTCCCCGTCACTATACTGGGGCATTAGGACCCACATGGACTACAGGGTGAGCGCCCCCTGCTGGTCCCACTAACACCTCTTCCAGCAGCAACTTCACAGGAGTCTCCCATCCAGGTATTGACCAGGCTCACACCTGCTGAGCTTCAGTGGGCTGCCAGTTGTGAGGAATATAACAGCTGCCTTAATAGATTTTTCTGGAGTAACTCCATTACTAAACAAGGTGCTGCCATCTCCATCCTATAGCACATGGATGGGGCTCATGAGAGCCATTGTAGGGTCCATTGACATTACTCCTTGGTAGCAGGTCTTTTTTACAGAGTGCTGGCACTGTGGTATTTCTTTTTTAGATCCCCTCTCATAAGTCAAGCATTCATTAGAAATGGCATGGCATGTAAGGCTCAACTGTTTTGCTGAAAAAAATGATGTTGGAAAGTATGATTCACTGCAGTTCAGAGTTCTGTTGTGAGCCAAAGGTCTCCAGAGATTCCAGTGAGTGGGGCACAGTCTGGATCGCTTCCAAATCTCTCCATGAGAGCCGTTACATCACAGTGCTTGCTACTTTAGCCAGGAGTGTGTGCAAGCCCCGCTGGTCATGAATATTGTAGGCCAAAGAGATGCTTTGGTTTCCTTAAAATTTGATCATGTTTCCGCAAGCCATTGCTGTTCTAGAGGCTACACAAAGGAGAGCAACTAGACTGATTCCTCATCTGAAGGGGGATGTCACACTCTGACAGGAGACAGGAAACTGAATCTTTTTATCTCAGAACAGATAAGATTACATTCAGAACAGTTTGAAATCTGGGTTGGAATGGGGGTATTCAAAATCCTGACTTGCCAAATCAAATACAGTAAGTGGACGTTTTCACACTTCAAAGCAAGAGGGGCAATAAAGATAGGTAGAACGGAAGATTTATGGATTTCGACTGAGGATTGTGGAACAGGCTCCCTAACTACACGGTTGAAAGGGACTCCAGAGTCCTGTAAGAAACAACTTGATTCTTAATCATTAAAGCAGCAAGATGGGCCAAATAGTCACCTCTCAATTGGAACGCTTTTTGTTGACTTTTTCATGTAACTGGTCATTTCTCGTTTTTTTTCCATTGAATTAGAATTGAGTCAGAGCACAGCAAAACATACTGTTGCGGACAAAAATATCTGCACCTTTCACGTTATGCCGGTTTTAGCTTAGTGTTTTTTACTTTTTTCACCAGCTGCTGGAGAGTATTTTTTCTGTGATGGCAGATAATGAGTCTTCTTGATTCAAGAGTTGAGAATGTGAAAGCTGCGTGCACAAGAGCTCTCGCCATCCCTAGAAAGCTATATACGTCTCATAATCTCGTTTGTACAGACTATGAATATAGCAGCTGCCAAATGGTTTAACTGCATTTGTTTAAAATACTCCACAGAGGTGCTTTGCCAGCCAGTGGCAAATGGGTCAGAAATGTACCTTGTGTTCAATTCTATATGGGGGAGGAGGGTAAGGGGCCATAATTTACCCCTGATTTAAAGACTGAGAATGCAGGGGCATCTCTTAGATGTTTTTTTCCAAGGATGTCATGAGTAATATCCTAGTATGTATTATATATATATAGCTTAAGCATGTGGTCAAGTCCTTGTTGTAGTTTTTGTTTTTTCCATTTTTTTCATCTTGTATTCCTCACATTTGTAATGATATTAATGAGACAGCTAGCTGTGTTAAGGAAATTGTGCCCATACCACAAAAGTCAATTGGGGAAAATAATCCTCTTCTGTGTCCTGATTGATCTGCAAGATAACATTTTTAATCTGACATACAGATGTACAGCAAAATCTGGGTTATAGCTCTTTTTTCGTTCTATTTAATAGGCAATATGCTACTCTTTTGTTGGTGCTTGTATAAGCTCTAGGGGATAGAGGTGCGCTGGCAGAAGTCAAGCCCAAAATGTAGGTATGCAGAGAGCAGATTAAGGTCAAGACGGGAAGAATGTTGTGACTTGTTTTTTCAAGGAACTTCAGATTCTCAAAAACTACGGGCAAGTGGAGACACAGGGAGTCTTCTGGGTGCTAGCCTGAGTTTCCATGAGGTGCTGTAACTGGTTATAGCTGTGAAACAGTCTCCCTGCAGAAGTCTGCAGTCTCTGAGAAAGAGGAGATTGTCTTCCTCAGGCTGCTGAATGAGCCTCTGCAGTTCAGCTCTGCGTGCTGTGGCAGGCTGGGCGGGCTGAGGGCGACGCTGCCCCCCAGACCTCTGGCATGCTGTTTCTCCCTTGTGCCAAACACTCCTGAGTGACTGACACTTGCCATTCCCATGAAGGGAAGGACCACTGGACAGGCAGATAGACTTGTATATGCTGCCTTTGATTAATTTTCTAAAACCCGTACAGAGCTCGTATTTATCATTAGTCTATATTTTCTAAGTGTGTCTGGAGTAAACAGAGGCTACTTAAAAACACTAAGATTAGACTAAGGTGTGTTGTGGTTTAATGTGTGATTCCTGTGCTGCACACAGCTCTTGATAAAGGAGAAGGAATGGACAGTTTTGCTTTTAAACGCTTTTAACAAAGATATGTTTTTTCTTCCTCTAACAGAACCTCACAACACTATGTTAAGGACACTTAAACAGGAACATTTTCCACAGAGTAAAGGATAAAGGAAGCTTGACAATGTGTCAAAAGGTTTGCCGCTGTGATTCAAGTCTGTATGAGAAAAAAGTTTTGAGTAGTTTCGGAGGTCCTGTTGAAGAAAGACATCCAAAACCAAAATTATACTGAAACTTGGATCACACCTTTTCCCTTCTCTCAACAACAGACTACGTCTAAATCCAACGTTTTGGCTGTGGAGCACCCGAAGAAGAAACGTTGTTTCTTTTCTTCTCTTTTCAGCATGGAATGAACCTTGACTTGTTCCTTTGCCACCTACGCATGCTGACGCAGCTCCCTACTTCAACAGCTTCTAAATCCTGTCTGTTCATCTGCAGATTTTGGCTCTTCACACCTCCCTTGTGCTCCCTGAGTATGGGCAGTCATTCTCACGTGCCTCATACTCATTTCCTCCCTGCTTCCTGCCCCTTCTCAGCCACTCTTTTGTCCTCCTTAGCTTTATTTATCTGCCACTTTCCCTCCTTCCCTCACACCTGAAGAAATCTCCACAGGGAAAAAATGTTTTTTTTTCTTTTCCTTTCAACATAGAACAAACCTATTCCTTAGAAAAACAATGAGGAAGGAAACTAAATTCACTGTCAATTTTGAAGACCGAAGAGCAGCACTGCTAAAAGTGATACTAATATAGACTAATATATACTAAGTAAATACTAATATAGAAACCTTGTGAGCCATTGCCACATTCTTAGTTAAAGTTCATGTTCCCACTGGAAGCGGTGCAGGTCAGACACTAGATCGAGTACATGGTACATTGAGGCTGAGGCCTGTTAGCTCTCTCCAACCTTGGGGTCTTACTAGGTGATGCTTTGTTCCAGCTGACCTGGGTCTGGGTTGTGGTTGTAGCTCAGGGGGGAAAGACCTCTCTACACAACCGCTGCACCGAAGATCCAGGCAGCGGGAATATAAAAAGATGGGAAAGTGTTTAACAACAGCTGGATCTTGAGCCTTGATTTAAAGACTGAGCTTACCAACTGATTAGGGGCATCTCGTAGACATTACTTTCCAGAAATGTATTATTTTCTAAAGCTGTCTTAACAAAAGGATGGCATTGATAATATCCTAGTATGTACCTTAATTATTGCATAAGCATGTGGTTAGGTCCTTGTTATGTTTTTTTATTTTTTTCCATTTGATTAATATTTTATTGATCTTATGTCCCTACCATTTGTTATGACATTAATGAGACAGCTAGCTGTGTAAAGGAAATTGTGACCCTAATGGCGTTAATGAGTTAAATAATCCTCATCTGTGTCCTGATTGATCTATAATCTGCATGCTGTTTCTGCTCCTGTGTTTGTCCAGGCATCAATGAGAGCATCAAGATCCACTGTGAAGCCAGGAATGTCAAGGGGATCTCTGTGTCTCGTACCGGCATCGTCTCCATCAAGGGTAAGGCATCTTCACTCCTGTTCAGTTCCTGGACATAGCCCTGAGGTCACACTGGAGTCACATATGTTGGTTTGTACAGTAGCATGTTAAACGTACTTTTCAACAGTGTGTTCAAATCATCTTCCTCTAATTCTCAAGCAGGTATTACGAAATCCTTACAGAATAACTTTAAACTGCTGTTTTACCTTTGTAAGCTGTTTGTAACGGGTGGTGTGTACGATACATGAAGGATCTGAGAAAATGATTTATTGTGATAACAGAAATATTCAGTGCCTGTCACAGGACATTGTGGATGGAGGTTTGCTGGGCAGGTTTCTGTGTTTTGCCATCAGTTTATTTGTTTGTCATGTCCCCTGCATGCCTGAACTTGTTTTAACATGGATTGTGGTTGATTCAAGCTGATGACCACTTTCAGGAATTTGCCAACCACCTGAAAGTGAGGTTAGTGACGGTAAATTAAATGAGTAGCTTTACAGTGCAGAAAGTTGGTATTGACCTCTGCCCTTTCCAATTTGACAAAATCCATGTTGTTGTCACATGGTTCATCACCAGCACATGAAGTGTGCGGATGAAGGAAGAAGGGCACGATTATAAAAAGGCATCATAAAAATGACTCATTCTTATGTGTACATAATGCATTGTAAATGTGGTAACTGCCCATTATAAATACTGCAGTCATGCTTTGTAATATTTAGATCATCAGGAATGTATTTTTTGTGTTGTTGGCGATACAAACCACCTCTTACTTCAGGTTTACAAATAGCAACAAAGTGAATCTGCATTTGTCTAACCCTGATTAAGTGGGAGAAGCATCGTGTTTAATTGTGTGTTTGTGTCCTGTCTTTCTTGTTGGGGAAGTAGTAGCTGGGAGTGTTCAGTGGATTCAACGTTTAAGTTAGTAGAGGTGAATGTCTGGGTGCACAAGTGGAAAGGAGGCTAGACTCTTTGATTCTACCATTCAGGAAACCGATCCTTTGTTTTTCATAGTATTTTGAGATGGATGAGCTTGTTTTTTTAACCATGAAACTCATAAGTCTATTTCTGGGCAGCAGCCGTGTGATTGTGTGTCTCTATGCAGGTCTCCCAGAAGCCCCCAGTGCACTGCATGTGATTGAGGTCCAGGAGAGTAATGTCACCATATCATGGACCCCAGGCTTCAATGGATACTCCCCCCTGATGTCCTGTACTGTCCAGGTACCACGCTATCCTAAAGTACTGCCCCTTCTTTCTCCTGAGTCCTTGCTCAGCTGAAGCTCATCTGGCCCTGTCTTACCCTGAGCCATACAGTTAAACTGTCCAGCACTCTCTCCTTTGGCCTCCAGACTCTGTTCACCTCTGTCAGTAAGTGCAGTCAGCCTGCCTTGACATCTCTTTTGCTCTTAGCTAATATCTCCATCCAAACAGTCCTTACACACACACAATTTTATGTTTCAAATCTCATTCAGCTCTTTCTTATCCTCCCTCTTTCTCTTTCCTTATAGACTTTTGCTATATGAACAGCTATAGTAAATAACTGGGAATATTTAGAGGTGTCTGCCAAAGCTCCTTCAGTATGCAAACAATTGTTTTTTTCTTCAGAGGAGATTGTAGAAGGATGGCCAAAAAAGCATTTCAAGCCCTTTGCTACTTAGGCTATTTAAGGGGGCATTTTATTTTTAGTTTGTTTCTTTGTTTTCAGAAGGTGGTGTGGTCAGTTGAGATGCCATTACAGTCTGTTCTTAAACTGATTGCAGTTTCCAGTGGCTGGACATGAGCCAAATGACTGCCTGCAGCCTGTCCACTGCAGAGCCTCATCTGACTGGGGATGACAATAGCGATTTAGTTGTGCACCCTATAGTCTGTGGTCAGTTGTCCTATGATTCAGGTTTATAAAAGAGAACAAAGTCTGTTTTGTGGCCAGCATGTGCAACATTAAGGAATTGCAAGTTCAGTCTTTTTTAAAGTGTAACTAGGAGAGGTTTTCAGATTTCAGGTCCGTCTTAATCCAGTTAGGGAGGGAAAAGAAGGAACTTTGGCCAAACATACTGTTTAACGATTTTTTTTTCCTACGTGTGATTTCAGACACAGAAGATTCTCTAATTCTTTATTCTCTTCCTGCCAATTAAGTAAAATAAGTTGGATTAAGTTTTATTAATCCCTGAAGAAGAAACCTGATTTTTTTTTGCCACTGTTTTGTTTTGTGTGTGTTGAGCCTTTTGGGATATAAGGTTGTGTGAAATGCAGGTATTTCATTTTTCAGATTCTTCAACTTTTGCCCAATTTATTTCAACAGCTTAATTTGGTCCACTGACACATTGCATTTTTGTCTTTATAAACTATTCAACAGATGTCAAAGAATTCTGGGAAGAAGATGGAAACTTTAGAGCATTATGTGACTGTACCTCCCTTCCAGCACCTCATTGGAGGGCTGAAGAGCTTTTCAAACTACAGTGCAAGAATCTGCTGTGAAAATGAGGTTGGGACCTCTCCTTTCTCACACTGGGTAGATTTCCAGACAAAAGAATCAGGTTGGTGAAAAAGTCACTGCTGAAAGCCTGCTGTAGGGCTGTCATTACATGCTTATCTATTTATAAGTCCTCCCTCTCATTACATTTTGAAGTATCTTCCTTCTCCTAAAACTTGACACATGATTTATCAACTCTTATATGGTACTTGTACTACAGGAGTGTTCTTCACAAGAAAACCACATCTAAATTTCTTTTGTGATTGGCGTACTGACAACCAGGTCTTCTTCAAGCCACTAATTAAATGCATAAATGTTAAGGGTTTTGCTGTTAAAGCCAGTTCTTATGACTCATATGAGCAACCTAAAAACTAAGAACTGGGCAGTACTGTTGATATGTTGAAATATAAAACAAAAGCCTGCTTGTGTAACAGCACAAAAGCATTAGGCTTGAGACACCTCTATATTATGATAAAGTCAACTGCAGGGTTTTCTGTGCACAATGCAAAATGTTCATGGCCTTTGTGTGAACGATGAAGGGGGATTATAGCCGAGAGAAAATGTCACGTACAGTTTGGGGCACCAGTAAAGACAAAAAAAAAA